TTCTGTCTCTTAGTCGAAACTCGGGGGAGCCACGGTACAGTAATAGATAGCGGCTCGGCTTGTGGAATCGGAGAGCCGAGTTCGAATTCCAGTCGATCCATTACATTCATTTACGTGGTAATACCCATGAGGAAGGTACGAATCCTCTTCTCCACACCCACCCCTGCCAAGTTATGGGTAAATAGCAGGACAGACTGGGTTCTATAGCCTGAATGCGCATCGGGATTCGAAAAGCATGCCTTCGTAATGCTAAGCAAAACATTAAGGAACATGAAAATTTGGTTAAAAAAAAAAAAAAACGGGTATTGAACACTAACGAAATATCAGTTCTCATCTATGGAAGTGAACGTTGAAAAATCTTCCCGCATATTAAGCAAAGACTTGAAACAACAGAAATGTGGTTCTACAGAAGGATGCTGAGAATACCATGCGATATCGAACATGTGATCAACGAAGAAGTTTTAGAGAAAAAGTAAACAAAAAGGAGACTTATATATAACATCAGAGAGAGACAGTGGAAATTCCCAGGGAGCATAATGAGGAAAGTGGGCTTAAAAAATCGACACTCACAGGGCATACTGAAAGCGAGAGAACGAAAGAAACACCTCCCTAATCTGCCAAGCGAGCTTATGTAAATGAGTAAATAACAAAAAGACAAAATTTACTAAGAGTGGCAAAAGACAGGAAATTGTAAAGAATCATGGTCGTCAAAACTCTTAATGTTCACAGCACATAAAAGAAATATATTGTTGCACTTTTTTAATATTTTATTCTTAGTTATTGTTGACCCTACTAAAATCTCCAGTAAGGACGAATCATGTCTTTCATATAACTCTTAATTTTTTTTTTAAGCATTGCGCCCCGAGCAAGGCGTGAAGCCACTAGGATGCAGGGGGTTGCAGAAAATTTGGAGCAAGAGCAGATAGGAGTGATAGAAGAAAGGATGAGGAGAAGGATAGTGGATAGATCAAGGCAACTGGAGATGTCGATTGACATTACATTTGAATAGTTGGAGATTATAGCTCTCAGGGAAACAGTAATTGGGAAGGGTGTTCCACAGGCGAGAGGTGCGAGGTATGAAGCTATTGGAGTAGAAGAGACGGCTACATTTAAAAGTTTCTACAGTGAAAGGGTGAGAGCGGGATGCCAGCCACGTAGGTCGGTTGAATTTTATTACAATATTTTTTTTGTAGTTATTGTTTTTTAATCTCTTATTGTGACCCATAAAGTCTACGGTTAGAAAGAGTCTTTTAAGTTTCATTACTGCACAATATGATGTTTGCTTTAAGGCACATATCTATTTCAGTCATTATACCGAGATTTACTTGTACCGCTGAGTCAGCTTGTGACTCAAGGTCGATGTTAATGTCGGGACCCGAGTGTTTCCACTCGGGCTGCTGGTCTTAGCTTGTTTAAGCTTGTCAAAGCCTATCTCTGCTTCTATTAGCTGGTCATAGCTTGTTTAAGCAAGACATACCCGATCATTCCACCGCTACGTAACAGATGTCACGTAACGGTGGGATGGAAGGAAGGGATGAGAGAAAGATACTACATCTGCAACATCTACCTCGACGGGGGGAAAAACACCGCCCACACACACACAAACATCTATTCCTTTGTCAGTCCTTCCAGAAAAATTCGGAAGTGATCCCCCCACCTCAGTTACTATCTCCCCGTCGTGAGATGTCTTCTCCCTGACATTCTATTCATATTTAACTCGCAATGTAACTGTTGAAACTTGACTAATGCATGGAATAATAATGCAACACAAAATGTACTTAGAACAAAATGTATTGAAACCAGAAAGTGTACACAATATTTACATATAGTCTTTTGTATATTCCTGGTAAGACCGTTCCTGGAGAATGTGTTGACTGAGTCGCAGTCGGGCAGAGTCTCTGGTTGAATCTCTTGATTCCTCCCTCTCTTCCCGGTACCAACCATATTTATATGGTCGGTACTCCACTATGCAAATTAGGTGGATCCTACCACAACAATCTCATCCTCGTCGCCATTGTTGAAACTTGACTAATGCATGGAATAATAATGCAACACAAAATGTACTTAGAACAAAATGTATTGAAACCAGAAAGTGTACACAATATTTACATATAGTCTTTTGAAATTTCCTGGTAAGACCGTTCCTGGAGAATGTGTTGACTGAGTCGCAGTCGGGCAGAGTCTCTGGGTTGAATCTCTTGATTCCTCCCTCTCTTCCCGGTACCAACCATATTTATATGGTCGGTACTCCACTAGGCAAATTAGGTGGATCCTACCACAACATTAACCTCTCTTCTACTCCAACAGCTTCTTCTTTCGCACTTTCCGTCTGTGGAATTCTCTTTCTCTTATTTGCTTCCCTGATAATTGTAATCTTCAAATATTCAAGTGTAATGTCAATCGACATCTTCTGATACCTTGATCTTATTCTTTCTCTTTGTCCTCTCTCCAAACACGCCTCATTACTCTTGTTCTCTTCCCTATGAAAACCACTTGCGTGCAAATGGCCCTCCCGCCTTGCTTAAGTGTGTGTGGGGGGGGCGAATTGCTTAAAAAATGTTCTAATGACACCACATTCTTTGGCAGCTCATGAATTTAAGCCTGCTACTACACTGGCAAACAGATCACACCGTTTAATTATTGGAATAGCTAGATTTTTGAAACTTCTATTCTAAAATTTGTTGTATCCTTGAAGAGGTTACAAACAGACAAAGATTGTACTCAAGTGAAGGAACAGCAACACGCGCGTAGATGAAAGAAGAGAGGTTTATTATAAAAGACAATACACTACTGAAAAACAGGGAATCGGGTGGCAGGCTAGTAATTCCTGAAGCAAGGCCCCAGGTATATCCTATGCTCACTATATATAGCTACTAATATAGTCAGTGCACAAAGGCCATAGCGAGCGTGGGACATTCCATTTCAACAAAAGTTTACTTTCTCGCCTGTGTAACTATGTTCCCCATTTTGATTCCATGCCAACGACGAATTTTAAAATTTAAATTAAAACCGCCATCTTTTGCCGTTTTTTTTTTTTTTTTTACTCCTGTTTCCTTCTGTTAATTTGACCATTACCATTACCATTCATCTGTTCCAGCTATTTCAGTTGGCTTACCGGATACAACTACTGAGTTTCCAGCAATTCTGTGGCATTATTTTAAATTGCCATTCAACTGCAATGAATGGAGAATTAAATCAAACAATATCTAGTCGTGCTACCTAGAATGGTAAACTATGATTGGTACACTCAAATAGAAAGATTTCTTGTCCGATTTTTATCTCAAGTGTTTTATGACTAGCGATGAGTTTGTGAGATACGGTCTTCAAAGCGCTCACCTCCTTTAACGAAACGGAAAAAAAATATACACAAATGAACACTCTGCGAAAGAAGTGAAGACAAAAGCGGCTATAGAGGATTTTCTTGTCACAGACCTGTGTTAAAAGTCACTGTTGGAATTAAAGTAGTTTTGTCCTGGGTATGACGATAAACTACATCTAGCAGCAATCTGATCAATAGTTTTGAGGAGAGTGGAAACACCTCTTAATTACTGTTGTTCCCAGGTTCAACCTAAGCTGGGATGGTAGCACCAGTTAAGGACCCAGCTATGGCAAATAGCGAAACCCCAAACTGGGGTCAAAACATGAAAGTACAATCATACATTTTCATAGATAGAAGTAAAAGCAATACGGTTTTATAAAAGTTAAAAAAAAAAAAAATCCCCGTAATATATTTTTTGGAAAATACATTACCAATGCTCCCAAGAAAATGAAATTTCGACATTAAATTACCCGTAAAGAGTTGATATACCGCTAAACAAAAAATTGAAGGAGTTCAATTAAGGACCGCTCAGGGTTTTTTCGATGCCGACCGTTGCTGTTGCCAGGCGCATGTCATAGTAGTGAAAATTTCGTAAGAGAAAGTTGTCCTAAGACACACCTACCCATATACATCCATTTGGGTCCCTCGTGGCGGTGTAATAGTTATCAAGCTTGTCTCGCTAGAGCAATTACGATTGAGAAGTGAGTTTGATCGTCACTGGGTGTCCGCTAGATTCGGCCTTGTGTCACATCTAAGCTACGCTTGGAAAGTTACTATATTTGAGTGTGTAAGCACTTCTCTTGAGGGGTATACGCATTCGGATACTTACAGGTCACAGGGATCCGACCCTGCGCAGGTAATATCACAGCTACGAACAGCTTGGACCGGCTCTGACCAGCTCTGACCAGCGGCCCGAGTGAAGACACTCGGGTCCCGACGTCACAACCTGACCCAGTGTTGAGTCAAGTAAATCAACCCACATACATCCATATCTTGCAAGTTAAGCCTTCAATAAACATCTACATATATTTGAAAATATATATATATATATATATATATATTCATATCCTTATTTCTCGGCGAGGCGTTTATTTTCAACTTTCACTTCGTTGTGGTCTTCTTGTGGCACACCGACACTAGCGAGAATAGAGACGCAACGTAGGATGACATGTGTCCGGTCGGTGAATATCGGGGTTAGGGTCCCGTTGTATGTTTACAAAAATAAGTTTAAACGATTTATATTTGGCGACCTGTCACTTGGAATAAATTCCAGAGGTAGACGAATTGTGTCGAGCTTGATTCTTTAAAACACAGAAAAAAAAAATGCAACACCAACCGTTCGAATTATTTCCAGAAGAGTTGAGACCGACCAAAAGACGCCATATGTTGCGCATTGCATATGTGATGAAATCATACAGGTGCTCTCAAGCATTTTAGCCCATGAATCAAAAAGAAAATACTTTTAATACGCGTTAATTTTTATAGGACATTAAGGGACTTGTGCTGCGATGATTCCATTATGTTTTTATTTTATTTTATTTTTTTGTCTAAGCCATAAAAGCAATGCTTTGTATGTTTAATTTCTTGCTTGGCATCCTGAGAAATTGAAGTGGATTCCATGGATAAAATATTGTGTCCATCTATACAAGAGTCAAGTCAAGGAATAAGGGAAAAACAATCTTTAACGGAAAACAGATGTAAAGATAATAAAAGAAAGAAAGAAAGAAAGCAGAAGGAAATGAAGAAAAATGGAAAGAAAGAAAGAAGGAAAACAAGAAAGAAAGGAAGAAAGAAAACAAGAAAGAAGGAAAGAATGGAAAGGAAGAAGGAAAACAAGAAAGAAGGAAAGGAAGAAGGAAAACAAGAAAGAAGGAAAGAAAGAAAGGAAGAAGGAAAACAAGAAAGAAAGAAAGAAAGAAAGAAAGAAAGAAAGGAAGAAAGAAAACAAGAAAGAAGGAAAGAAAGGAAGAAAGAAAACAAGAAAGAAAGGAAAGAAAGAAAGGAAGAAAGAAAACAAGAAAGAAGGAAAGGAAGAAGGAAAACAAGAAAGAAAGAAAGAAAGAAAGGAAGATGGAAAACAAGAAAGAAAGAAAGAAAGAAAGAAAGGAATAAAGAAAACAAGAAAGAAAGGAAAGAAAGAAAGGAAGAAAGAAAACAAGAAAGAAAGGAAAGAAAGAAAGGAAGAAAGAAAACAAGAAAGAAAGGAAAGAAAGAAAGAAAGAAAGGAAGAAAGAAAACAAGAAAGAAAGGAAAGAAAGAAAGAAAGGAAGAAGGAAAACAAGAAAGAAAGAAAGAAAGAAAGGAAGAAAGAAAACAAGAAAGAAAGGAAAGAAAGAAAGGAAGAAAGAAAACAAGAAAGAAAGAAAGAAAGGAAGAAGGAAAACAAGAAAGAAGGAAAGAAAGAAAGGAAGAAGGAAAACAAGAAAGAAGGAAAGAAAGAAAGGAAGAAAGAAAACAAGAAAGAAGGAAAGGAAGAAGGAAAACAAGAAAGAAGGAAAGAAAGAAAGGAAGAAGGAAAACAAGAAAGAAGGAAAGAAAGAAAGGAAGAAAGAAAACAAGAAAGAAAGGAAAGAAAGAAAGGAAGAAAGAAAACAAGAAAGAAAGGAAAGAAAGAAAGGAAGAAGGAAAACAAGAAAGAAGGAAAGAAAGAAAGGAAGAAAGAAAATAAAAAAAAGAATAAAAGAAAGAAAAAGAAAAAAACAAAGAAAAAGAAACAAGGAAAGAAATGAAAATAAAAGAAAATCATGAATACAAAAAGTAAGAGGGAAAGAAAGCAAGAAAAATATAAATAATCTATATAAATAAAGCGCAGTGTACATGTGTCTGTCTGTCCGTCTGTCCGTTAATGGACGAAAGAAAGAGAGAATAAATGAAAGAAATAAAGAAATGAGGAATTTAAAGAAATGAAAAGTCAAAGAAAGAAACGTAGACAAAGTAAATACAAACATGAAACGAAAAACAAAACGAAAGAATGAAAGAAGAAAAATAGCAAGAAAAGACAGAAAATAAAAAGAAATAAAAGGAAAATGCAATTACAAACATGACAAAATAAAATGAACGAATAAAGAAAGAAAGAATAAATTAAAAGAAAAAGAAAAGAAAGCAAGTAAATCATCTCCCCCCCCAAGAAATGCCACCACGACGCAGGGGGTTCCAGGTAACAAAAAGGGGGAGAAAATACTGAGGAAATACGATGAACGGATTTCGAGAAGATAGAAGATGGCGACTGACGCAGCATTTAAATTTTTGAAGATTGTAGTTATCAGGGAAGCAAGTAAAATGAAAATGGAGTCCACGGGCGGGAAGTGCAAGAAAACAAAATGTTGTAGTAGAAGTGGTGGTAGCTATTTCAAAAGTAATTGGTTGAACCGTAGATGCCAATCTAGTAGCACGCTTAAATTTATTTAGTAGAGGCATTAGCGATTAAAGACCATCAGCACAGTTGCCCTGAAAATATTTTTAGAAAAGGCAGAGAGAAGCCTCGTTACATAGGTAAATAAGTACCTCCCTCTGTCTTTTCTACAAATACGTTCATGGTAACTGCTCTGACGAGCTATTTTCGCTAGTTCCCAAACTGCATGAATTTAAACGTGCAACTAGGTCGGCATCTCAGTCCCACTCTTTCACTGTCGAAACGGTTAAATGCAGCCGTTTCTTCTACTTCAATAGCTTCATGCCTTGCACCTCCCGTCTGTGAAACTCCATTCCTCTTACTTGCTTCCCTGATAGCTATACTCTCCAATTATTCGAATAGAATGTCAATCGACATCTCCCGAGGCCTTGATCTATTTATTCCCTGTCCTTCTCTTCATCCTTTCCACTTTTATGTCTCTTTATTCTTGCTCCCACTTTCTATAACGCCCTTGCATTCTGGTGGTACTCCCGCCTTGGTTGGAGTGAAAAGTTTAAGAAAAAAAAAGTGACTTAAGTCGAGATGCAAACTCAGGATAGATTACGCTAGAGATCCTTCTTTGGATTTTCTCAACAACCTCGAAATAAATAGCAGGAGCAGCAGAGCAGAATCTGACTAAGTTCAACGTTGTTCAACTTAACGATCAAACGAGAAGCTTTTTATCAAACGATGATATGGCAGTAAAAAACAAGATATGAACGAATTAATGGAACGGTATATAATATATATATATATATATATATATATATATATATATATATATATATATATATATATATGTGTGTGTGTGTGTGTGTGAAAATATATAGAAAATAGGAAATAATTCGTTACGTAAATAATCCAAAGTTTTTTTATTTTTGTTATTATTTAAAAAAAAATAGTGCTCCATACAAAAGTAGAGCACAAAAAATTTCGCTTAAAGATGCAACAGAGCTTAGTACTTTAATTAAATTTAATTCAAATAATTAAATTGAAGTTTTCGGATCTTGTTTTGAAACATGAGAACTCTCATGTAGCGTGTTGGAATCATATTTTTATATAATAATTATATATATATATATATATATATATATATATATATATATATGTGTGTGTGTGTGTGTGTGTGTGTGTGTGTGTGTGTGACAAAAGAAACGACGGATATGCAACGTGTTTGGTCCTGATCTGGCATCTCGTCTACAGTCACTTTCTTACAGACGTGCTGTGGCTTCCCTCTGTCTTTTCTACACGTAATTTCATGGCAACTGCTCTGACGATCTACTTTCACTGGTTTCCAAACTGCATGAATTTAAGCGTGCTACTAGGTTGGCATCTCAGTCCCACCCTTTCACTCTCGAAACGGTTAAATGTAGCTATCTCTTCGACTCCAACAGCTTCTTATCTCGCACTTCCCAACATTAGAAATCTCTTTCTCTTAACTTGCAACCATTATAGCTATAATATTCAAATATTCAAATGTAATGTCAATCGACATCCTCTGATGCTTTGATCTTGATCTTGAGACCCCGTCCTTCTCTTTATTCTTTTCCCAAACACTCCTCTTGACTCTTGATCTCACTCTCTGTAACCCTTTGCGTGATAGTGGCATTATCGCCCTTCTTGCAGTGATATGCATAAAAAAATGAAGACGGCATTCTTTAAAGAAACGAGGAAACGAAACAGAAAGAAAAGATTTAAGCCAGGAATGATTGTAGAAAGAATCGTGAAGAAAAGCAAGCAACATGGAAGTCCTGTTAAAAAAAAAAGAAAAGAAATCTACTAATCCAATAGTCCAGAAAGAATAATAGTTAGATGGAAGACATTTAAGTAGTTCGCTCCATTGAAAACTTCTCATCTAATCTAAGGATTTCTTTACCTCCCTACTGCATATCATCACTACACCAGACACCGAGACAGATTCTTCGTTCATCGAACCTAAGAATATTAATGTCTTGTCGACTCTATCGACCATTTCCTTTCAGCCTTTACCTACCGGCATCGCCTAACAAAGGTAATAGAATTTGAGAAATAAAGTTACACGTAACTATTAGCACATTTTCCGTTTCGCGTCTAGGGAAGAAATTCGATTTGATGTTTCTTTCGAATTAGACGGAATTCTTACGATTATATTGTAATTTTTTTCCTTTCCTCATTTTATAGTCAGGTGTTGCTGAAATCAAACTAGATAATACAAATAACGCATTCCCTTGCTTCCAAGACACACCGGTATGCCTCGTTTAACATATATATATATATATATATATATATATATATATATATATTATAAAAAAAAAAATTCCGGGGAACAGGTGAAAAGAATATGGATTTCTTTTTTTTTTGTGCTTTAAATTAACTGGCAAACGCTCTCTAACTTGATAGGCTGAGGATAAGAAGAATTTTAGAAAATAAGCATCGCTTGAACATAAAGTTAAACACTGTCTTCTCGTTGTGGCTTCCGACCAGTTTAAGGACAAATTAAAACTGATAGAAGAATGATAAAGGAGACCCATCTGTTTTTGTAGACCAGCCTACGGAAGCCAGATGGAGACAGAATATGTGTGTGAGAGAATGGAAGTGAGGAATGGGAGGGAGAGAGAGTGTAGTGTATGTGTGTGAGAGTGACAGAAAGAGAGTGAATGTATGTTTTGTGTTTGAGAAAGGGATAGAGATGATGTATGTGGGAGATTGAGACATTAACAGAGGGATTGTATGCGTGCGTGTGGGATGCATTTGAGAGGGCGACAGAGTGCCAAGAGTGTGTGTGAGAGAGATATAAAGGGAGAGCGTGTTTCTATGCATGTTAGAGAGGGATTGACAGAGTGAGAATGAGTGTGTGTGTGTGTGTGTAAAAGGGAAAAGAATCAGTATGTGTATGAAAGAGGGAGGCACAATACGAGAGAGAGTGAGAGAGAGTGCCTTTTACAAAACACTTTTATTTTACCTCTTTTTACTTTTTTTCTAATTGAATTATTTAAAATTAATAAATAAAATGAAAATTAGTTTCTCTCTATATTTCTGAGAGGAGGTATTATGTATATTATTTACATTATTCGGACATATTTATACAACGTTTCGGCCGTTGTACGCACTGACCGTCTTCAGGTGGTTAGAATGTCGAACCGAACCCTTTCTTTCGCTCACTGGTGTAGACTGCTCTGGATCTCAAGGAAACATGACACAGTGGATAAAGGCGTTGGTTAGATCCAGTGACAGGACCCAAAGAGTGTAAGTTCAATACCCGGTTAAGGTAGTGGAGAACCTGGAGAGTGGAATTAATAGGAGATAACTGATAAGTGACATCCATTAAACATGGCACGTGGAACTAGAACAGTCTACCCCAGTGAACGAAATAAAGGGTTCAGTTCGACATTCCAACGACCTGCAGAAGGCCGGAGCATACAACGGCCGAAACATTATAATAAGTATGGCAACAAAGATGAAGACAATAGTCCGAATAATGTAAATAAAGTATATAATACCTCATCTCAGAAATATAGACAGATAATGAAAGGTCGAAACGTTGTAATAAATATGGCGTCAAAGATGAGGACAGTAGTCCAAATAATGTAAATAGTGTACATAATACCTCATCTCAGAAATATAGACAGATACTGTAAGATATATAGTTTGATGGTAAGGAGATAATAATATTTAGTGATTGAAGTCTTACTAATTAACCTGTGTCTGGGAGGAGAAGATGTGGATCCATGCCTTTCCCAAGGCTGGTTACGCGTAAGTGAATATAAAAAACCCAACGGGAAACGAAACTATGTTCTCCGGATAACAATTCCGTGTCATTATCCATTACACCACCCGCACATCCAAGCTTACAGGATCTCGTATCACCAAGCGGCCACCGAGCAAGTTACTGGCCAGGATCGACTTTCAGCTTCGGTGATTATAGAGGAATCGGTGTTTTCACGTGTTGTGACTGTCGGCCTGACTATTTTAAGTCGTAGTATTTTGTTGGCAAACAACTTTATTTTGATTTAATGTCACTTTTGCACGATTCGTAACATTTCTTATTTTTAAATTTTTAAATACAGGGTACGATGGATGAATTGCCGTCTAAATTACGCCAAAATTAAAATAACACAGACATCTCATTTTAAAAGATATTACACAAAATTATCTTGAAATACTAAAGAGTAAATTTATTCAATAAAAAACACCATTGGATTCAACCACTGCCTCTAGACGACTTCAGAATCTTCTCTAAGTCTTCTGGTCGGTCTCATTGTTTAAGTTGGCGAATGCTACCATAGAGTTGTGTTATTTACCTCATTTTACATTGTTTGGTACAAGGTCACATGATTACAGCACCAAGGGAGGATCAAATTCACTATTCAGTATTAATACTTGACCAGACAAGATCAGCAATATGGGAGTTGTGTTATTTACCTTACTTTACTTTGTTTGGTACAAGATCACATGGTTACAGCACCTATTAAGGATCGAACTCACAACTCAATAGTAATGATTACCCTGATTAACTTAGCCTTAAGCTATCCTACAAAATAGGAGTTTTGTTATTTATTACTCTTTGCATAGTTTGATACAAGGCAACACGTATGGGCCACTTGATGAGTATCAAACTCACTACTCAGTATTAATGATTAACCATAATAAATTAGCATTAAATTATCCTACACCATAGCAGTTTTGTTATTTACTAACCTTCGCACAGTTTGGCACAAGGCCACACGTATGCGGCTCCTGGTAAGGATCGAACTCTATAAACAATATTCATGATTAACCAGACACGATCTACATTGAGTTATCCTATACCATAGTAGTTTTTTTATATACTTACCTTTGAATAGTTTGGTACAAGGCCACAAGTATAGGGCACCTGGTGAGGAACGAGCTTCCTATTCAATATTAATGATTAAACATACTAGTTCAGCACTAAATTATTCTACACAATAGCGGTTGTGTTATTTACTAACCTTTGCCTAGTTTGGTACAAGGCAACAAGTATGGAGAACTCAGTGAGGATTAAAATCTCTATTCAATATTTATGATCAATCAGACAACACCGAAGAATTTGTTTTGTTTTCTAAGCTCAGCTTAGTTAGTCTCTAGACTGCAAGTATGAGGTAAACTTATTTCTTATTCATAACGGCAAATTACTGGTTAAACATTACCATACTCTGAAAACCCGACTTGTAATGATTGTTCTTTTTGCGTTTTTTTTTAATCTCGTCTCTTGAAAACTCTCGACAGTATGTTGTTTGATCCTTTAAAATAACAAGTATTTTTTTCTTTTAATAATATAAAATTTAAATATAAAAGAAAAACTCTTTGTGTGAAGAGTGAAGAATATCTTGTTTATTCCGCTTCAGATCTCGTCGAAATGGCAACAAAACGTTGTTGAACGGGGAGGCGAGATAATTTGTTTTCTTGAAACAATAAGTGATTCAGAGTCAAAACACGAATGAAAGAAATTAAAAAAAAAACAAACTAAAACCTCTTTGATTCTTGCTTCCCATCAGCGACACACAAACAGGGGGGAAAAACGGTATTACAGACCTGTTTCTAATTAAGACAATGATTTTATTGGAAGCTCGACAAACGAAGAACAAAACTTTCAGCAATAAACAAATAAAAAAAAGAACTTTAATTTTTCGTTAACTAATATTTAATTTCATTCACTTTTTTTTCTTGCTTTTTAAAAATATCAACACCAGGGTCAGAACAACTAAAATAGTTTTCTTTCAAATACGAAACCTTTAAAAAAATATATATATATATTTCTTGTGTTTAATTCGCAACTTAAAATTTCAAAATGAATGAAAATCGTCGAAAAGAATAACTTAGATTCCGTCGTCCTTGCTAAAAAAATAATAAAAGAGAGAGACAGACAGACAAAGAGAGAGAGAGAGAAATAAAGAGAGAGAGAGAGAGAAATAAAGAGAGAGAGAGAGAGAGAGAGAGAGAGAGAAAAAACACAATTCAACTCCTGGTGTTGTGTTTACCTACCTTTTCCTCGCTCCCCAATCAATGTCCATCACATTTAGCCTGCCAAGTTGCCCATAACGCCCGGTTAATGAAATCGAGTCAGTACAGAAAACAAAGAGACGACGTGAAGTGATGCTTCTCTGGCGTTTGAGTAAAGCACAGTTTTGACAACATGGATTGCCGGGCTTGTGAGTAAAGACAGCTTTTGAAACATACTCGAGATTTATTTTCAGTATAGAAGGGAAGAGATGTAACACATTTCTGCATTTTGTCGGCATGTTCCCTTTCGAGAAAATGACAACTTCATTTTAAGGTTCGCCTGGTTTCTTCCTGGCTGTGTTTATTTTATTTTATTTTATTTTATCTATTAAAGTGAAATCGTGCAATTGTTAAAGTAGGAAAAACATTCTTTGGAAATAAATTTTATAGATTAATATTAATTAGAGCTTCATCAAGTCGCGACATTTGTCATAATTAAAAGATATTATGTAATGATTTTAGAAATGGGGATATTGTTCATAATATCGGTACAATATTTTTTTACAGAATTATTGCGTCTTCACTATTCTGCGTCCAAAACAGCATTTTTTTTTTTTTGCAAAAGAGCGTTCATTCATTTTCTAAGAATCTTATTGGATTATCGGCCAATAAATCTAGTGTAAAAATATAGATTTCTAATTCAAAATTAGCATTATTTACTGTACCTTTTATATGTTTATTTGAATTGTCTTTTCTCGTCTAATATTTTACGTAATATATGTTTGATTTTTTAATTCCATATCCAGTCAGAATATAGACTATCATGTCTCTCCACAGATTTAATTTCTTTATGTCTGTCAATAAACATTATTTCTTGGGAAAGGAAGTGGAGTAATTTTCCTTTACTTACTTAACGGTTTTGCATTCCTAGTAATCCTTTTAAATGAAGCTTTGAAAAATTATATTCTAAAAGTGTAATATATATATATATATATATATATATATATATATATATATATATATATATATATATATATATATACAGAAGTGGTCACAATATAAGCAACGAAACAACAAAGACATAAATATATGTATTACTTAAAAAGTAATGCATGATTAGCAATGAAATTTTTACCGAATAAAAATTAGGTGTAATGCATAAATATTATACAAAGTTACAAAAATTTACATGATACCTTTTTTTTTATAAAATAAAGATTAAATGGAACAAAGGAAATAAGCTACCGGACAAAAGTTAAGGAACGATGTTAATAATTTGCATAAAATTTTAATTTACATCTCGATAGAGCTTTTCAACAATAAGTAAAAGTTCATTTATCATTAGCACTTTATTTTTTAGCAATATGGCAAATTCTACACGCAAAACACTCTCTCTTGAAGTAAAAAAATAATTATCGCTAACTATCTAGAAAAAATTCAATTTCTGATATTGTTCATAGGTCTAAAAGTGTCGTTTATCGTGTAATTAGCAGGTATAAAACCAATAAAACGTTAGATGCAAAACCAAAAACCGGCAGACCTCCAAAACATCGCAAAGAGAAGATCGAAGAATTGTTAGAATATCTACAAAAAACCGTTTTGAAACTGCTACATTAATTTCCCGTAAATTTAATGAAGATAATATGATCTCAAGGAAAACGGTTGCTCGCAGGTTAAAAAATGCAGGATTGCATGCCCGTATTCCAGCTTCGAAGCCTCTCATTTCAAAGCGAAACCAAATGGCACGACTGGAGTATGTGAGCGAACATGTTGTTTGGACTGACGCACAATGGGATACAGTTCATTTCAGTGACGAGTCCAAGTTTACTATATTTGGTTCTGAGGGCAAAACTTACGTACGCCGTAGAACAGGTGAAAGACCTGAATCCAATAGAAAAATGTTTGGAATATAATTGGAGAAAGAAGCTCAGAAAAGAAACCCGAAAATCAAGGATCACCTATGGGAGTTATTGAAATAAGAATGGAGGGGTGAATTACTGCTGATTTTGCAAGAAATTATTTAGATAATGTGGTCAACACTGCAGGGAATTCATTGAAAATAAAGGGATGTTTACCAAATATTAAATTTTCTTGTTTTTTTTTTTCTTCTTTTTTTGTTCACAATCAAGTATTAACAAGATCGTTCTTTAACTTTTGCCAGTAGCTTATTTCCTTTGTTCCATTTAACGTTTATTTAAAAAAAAAAAAAAAACTATTATGTAAATTTTTGTAACTTTGTATAATATTTATGCATTTAAACCCTAATCTTTATTCGGTAAAAATTTCATTGCTAATCATGCATTACTTTTTAAGTAATACACATATTTATATCTTTGTTGTTTCCGTTCCTTGTATTATGGCCGCTACTGTATATATGACGGCCTCTCCCGTAGAGTTCGAAGTATGAGGTTCCTACGATCACGAACTAATTATGTGCATGCCTATGACAAGCATGACTTTTGAGACCGGCACGAGAATTGCACAAAAGACCGCAAACAGTACAGGAGAATGTATTGTATCCAAGTGCAACAGGAACACTGTTAGATTATTTTGCTTTCGAATTTCACGCAGTCAAATAATGCTTCCTTCTTGATGGTGAATTATTCCTGAATGTCAGCTGAAATGATACTCTGATCTCTTCATAGCTACCTCTTCAAAGTTCTTAAATGAAATGTTAACGCAAGAAAGGTTGCTCTTCAGTTTATCTTTATACCGGAGCCAAGGTCTACCAAGATTTCTATGACCACTGTGGAGTTGATTATAGAAAAGGACTTTTATTATGCAATCATCACTCATCCTTGCTACATGGTTTGCCCAACGTAATTGTGATTGCATTATGAAGGTCTCGATGGTACCAATCTTGCATTTCTCAAAAAAGGACGGCATTTGATACTCGATCATCAAACGTTGGGCCACAGATAGTACGGAGACATCTAATTGATTAATATATATATATATATATATATATATATAATAAAAAGGCTTAAACACTAATATTCCATGGTCATAATTTATTCCACTGTGATCGTAAATACGATCCAATTCATCAGACCTACAATTTCAAAAAGAAAACAGAAAAAACAACCCCGGGAATAAAAAATAAAATTTAGCGAAAGTGTATGTATTATATCCTTACTCTCTCCTGGACATTAAGTTCTACGTGGATTCTATCCTCTTGGAATTATTTTTTATACAAATATATATGTATGTGTATGTATGTATATATATATATTTATGTATTTTAGATATATGATTGCATATGCATGTGTATATTTACCACTAATATTATCAATATATATATATATATATATATATATATATATATGTGTGTGTGTGTGTGTGTGTGTGTGCTATTAACAAGGAAATCAAGAAATTTTACAAAACGGCAACCAAAAACTGGGAAATCAACACCAATAAAAAAAGCCAAGGAAATAGACACAAAACTTAAAATCGATGCTAGAATCTAGGGATCAACAAGTGTCAAAAACAGTTCATGCCATAGAATTATTTAATAAGATAAAAATAAAATATGAATACGCATCCATAAAATTCGATATTTGCGACTTCTACCCGTCCATCACTAAGAGGTTAATCATAGTGTCTATAAAGATCGCTCGAGAATATTTCCCTATTAGTGCTCAAGAAATTAATATCATAAGGCAGGTACAAACACTGGTACATTTCCACGGCGAATGATCGTGGACTAAAAGAAACAACCCAGAGTTTAATATTGCTATGGGTGCGTAAGATTCTGCAGAAGCATGTAATATTTTTGGAATTCTGTTGCTGTGACGTCTTAGATTTATGTTCTAAATAATAATATGTTGGTTTTATTGAATATGTTAATTTTATGTTACGCTTCAGTGTAGAATTTCGGCAACTGTGTCCCTGTTTTAGAAAAGAACAAATATACAAATTGAGCCATTTCTTAAAATTAAATGAGGGGGCGTAGCAGATATAAAAATAATCCAAAATTTTCTAGAAAAGAAACATGTCTAACACAATTTCATTCAATTGTGAATAAGTCCTGAAGTTTTCATTAAAATTCGGCAATTATTTTATTCTTGCAAGAATTTCCAAATCAATTTTTTCATAGCAAAACTCGCTAAAATTTTCTGTTCTAACGCAAGAATAAAATTTTGAAGTTCCTAAAAAAGATTTAAAAATATAATTTGCACTTCCCTCTAAATAATAACATGGTTAATTTGCAGTTTAGCACTCGCGCTCATTTCGCATTAAAACTTTCCCTAATACTTAAATTAATGTGTAATTGTACATGCGCCATTCGAATCTGGCTTGATAAACTTGTTAAAATCTACCGTTTTGAAGTTATCGACAGTAAAATTTCGGATTCATTCTCGTCGTTAGCGGCAGTCATTACTGGGGTTGTTTGCATATATTTGCAGCGTAAAACTAAGCCCAGAAGAAAATGTATTTAAAGGCCTTGTTTACTGATCTCTCGTCTCATCTTGTCTAATTTACTACGCGAGGGAACTATATTGCGTGCGCAATGATCAAAACAAGTGCACAGCCCACTCATAGCTATCCGTAGCGAATATACGCAAACAACTCCAATAATGGCTGCCCGCGAGGCGAATAAATCCGAAATTTTACTGCTGATAACTCCAAAACGGTAGACTTTATCAAATTTATCAAGCTAGATTCAAATGAAGCATGTACAATTACACATAAAGATAAGTATTTTGGAAATTTTTAATGCGAACTGGGCGCGGGTTCTAAACTGCAAATTAACCATTTTGACGATAAAATAGTGTTTTTATTAAGATTGGGTCGTTTTTCAATCATATATGCTTGTTTTTCTATCATATCTGAGGACTCACTGTGAGTCCTGCTGATAATAAAATCTGCTTGATGCATAATAATAGTGTTAAAATTCATTCTACGAGTAAATGTACATTTTGTTCCCCACTGTTTCGTGGGTGGGTATTATGCAAGCGAGTAATTCTTCTGATTATCTTTTCTCTTCTTTTCTCTTTGTTTAATATATATTTGGATATATAT